TTAAAAATGGCGTGCAGTAGTCACAGTGGGTGGAAGCTGTGGAGAGAGACACATCATGCTGAGTGCATGTCAAGAGTTTTATTGGTGGGAAGGGAGAGAAAGGAGCTAAGGAGAGAAGGAGAAGAAGAGAAATGGAGATGGGAAAGTGGGGGAGAGAGGAGGTTCACATGTGACCTTGTGGGAATAGAGAGAGAGAAAGGGGGTGGGGCCCTTTTATGAAGGGAGGTAGCACATGTGTAGAGAGACCACATAGCAATGAGTGAATGATGCTGTCAGGACCCTGAGCAGGACAAGGTACCACCTGCATACTGGCCAGGTCCCCAAGAGGCAGGTCTGAATGCCAACAATAATACTATATAACAGATTAGTATTACATGTCTGAAATACACAAATGTTCAATAAATTATAAGTATAAACTTCAGCTTACCAAAAGCTCTTGATACAGGGCTGTCAAATATATGTAATAAGTATATATGTCCAGTTGTTCTAATCCTCATTGATCTTAAATAAGAGGTGAAAGGAAAGTGAATGTATGAAATTGTAACCAGAAGTGGAGCTTTCTGTCCCATATGCCCAATTATACCTGGTGGTTGCTTCCTAAATTATCACTCAGAGGCTTATAAATTAATTATAAATGCTTTGGCCGATGGCTCAGGCTTATTACTAACTAGCTCTTACATTTAAATTAACCCATATTTCTTCTCTGTGCTTTGCCATGTAGTTTGTGGTTTGTTACCTCATTTTCTACATGTCTTGCTTCCTTAGTGGCTGGCTGGCATCTCTCTTGACTCCACCCTTCTTTATCTCCATCTTCTTCATTTTGAAGATAACACCTAACCTTATTCTGTCTCACCATTGGGCAAACAGCTTTATTATCAGCCAATGAGAACAACACATATCCACAGCATACAGGATCCCACAGGATGAAATAATTATGGGATTAACTTATTCTATTCCAGTGATGATTTAAGTACTTAAAGTCATATATTAAATATTTTCTTTCACCAAGAATAGAGAAAGATTAATTATAAAAGGTAGAAATATTTCTAGGCTGTTTAAACATATAGAGATAGTCTATATATTTTGGGAATTTAAGAACATGACCATTTGGTGAATGGATTCTTAAAGATCCTTCTTAATAATCATGTGGTTCACTAATTATATCAAAATAATTAAACAGTCCTTTCTGGGAAAGTTAATGTAACTTTCAGATAGCTTTCAGAATGAAACAGTGAAGATACAATTATAGTTATAATAGCTTGGGAGTGGGATAGTATGGGTAAATCCTAAAAATTTAAGCAGCATGATTAAATTGGTAAAGCAAAAAATAAAACTGAGCACCGCAGGAGTAGTTAAATAGGACATGAGGTAATTGTTTTTTGTGAAAGTCACTAGGGGTTACAAAAATTTTAAATAGGAAGGTAAGGCAGAGGAGCTAGAGTAGGCATAAGATCCAGGGAAGGTTTGAAATTCTAAAGATAATATCTTCTTCTGAGCTGGAAATGTTGTTGCCATGATCTATGCAGAATGAAGTATATATCGAACACTTAAATGTCTTTTCCGAATGTTTATTTGGATTCTTCAAAAGGGGAACACTTACAACAAGGGTTAAGTGGCTGCATGGGAGTGGAGCATCAGGGGAAGGCATACAATTGAAGCACACACCAAGGACTGAGTTGCCACTTCTTAATGGAGTACACCAAAGAGTAAGAACTGGACTTACAACTCTTATAAGTAGTTAAGAAGGAAGGGAGCGGGAGGAGGGATGAAAGTGAGATCTGTGGTTGGTATGTAAAATGAATAAAAAATTAAATAAAAAGAGCTACTCATTATACATTACTAATAGAGCATTTACATTTTACCTCCTATGCTGGTCATGCTGTGTTTATATCAGAAAACCCAATGGCAGAAAAAATCTAGCAAAACTTATGCAGAGTAATATTGGAGTGGGGCAAGAGGGTATTTATAGGGCACTAGCAGTGTTCATGGAAATAGGAAATATGATATATAGATCATATGTGGAGAATCACATTTTAGATAAAAGATGTTTTATTTTAAACAAATAAATAATGTCTTTAAAGGTTCTATTTATTTGAAATCTTGAACACTTAACATCCTATCTACATAGGACTTGTGTTACACTTGTTAAAGTTTTATTAACCACCAGTTATGTGTCAAGCTCTCTCTTAAGGGCTGAAGATACAATAGATGATGACTAAGTGGCTTCTTTTTTGAAGGCTGCATTATAATGGGCAAGAAGTAGACAAAGACAAGAAAATGAGTAAATGTAACTGAATCATTAAATGTTTCAACTTATTAGATTACAAACATGAATGATTATTACTTCCCCATTAGGTGCCACTTGCTATGCTTTATACTACATATCTTTACCCTCTGGGAGATGAAAATATTGATAAATATGTCAGTCTAATTCTGTAACATTTCAAGATGTTGGATAAGCTTTTCACTCTGGGGCCTTTGTCTGTATTAGCTCCAAACCACTATATGATAGCAATATAATCCCATTTATCACCACCAGAGTGAACGTATGATTCTAGAATTTAGGAATTTGTGGAGGTGTATGGCATTTCCTTCCTCTTCTGGGTAACCCTTGTCCCTTCTTTGATTTTGTCTTGAAAAGGGAGTGTCTGGGAAAGAGTAATGGGGAAAAAGAGGCATTTGTTACTGTATCTCTTCCCTTTTATTGGCCATAATTGCTTTTCTGGCTGTCTTTAGGCAGACAGTTGCTGTGATAGCTTCGTGATGAGAGGCTTCTCCAAATATCTCTCCTGGGCATTGGAATGCCAGACTGTGAGCCGGTACCATCCTATCACTTCCTTTCCTGTCCTCTGGCTTTTGGCAAGAGTAGTCTATTTATTGACTCCAACTTGGACATTTAGATACAAATTTTGTCTTCTCTGTGTTGGGAGTAGGCAAGAAGTAGTTTAGTCCCCTTGTCATCTGGCAGTTTCTAGCATACTGTATCTCCCAGGGTTCTTTATCCCTGTAGCAGGGTTGCAGAAGTCTGGAGTATATAATAATAAGGATGGGGTGATCTCTTGTCCTCATGCAAAGCTTATCAACTCCTCCTTATCAGGTCTCTGTAACACGAATCTTAAAAGGTCTTATTAATAGAAAACCTGGAGCCAGATATTGGGGTGAAAGCTAAAAGATCAGAGAAACAGAACAAGCCAGCCATGTTCTTACCTCTACGAAATCCTCAGCCTCAAGAGAGTGAGTTTCTGTTTCCTCATGCCTTACATACCTTTTTCTGCCCAGATATCACTTCCTGGGATTAAAGCCATGTGTGCTTCCCAGTACTGGGAATAAAGGTGTGTGCCACCACTGCCTGGCTCTGTTTCCAGTGTGGCCCTGAACTCACAGAGATCCAGATGGATTTCTGCCTCCCGATTGATAGGATTAAGGATGTGTGTCACCACTGTCTGGCCTCTATGTCTAATCTAGTGACTGGCTCTGTCCTCTCACCCTCAAGACAAGCTTTATTAGGGTACACAATATATCACCACAGGTCTTTTTCTTTATTGGTGAGTCAAGAGCATTATAATAAGGAGGTAGCTATGTTGGTTTGCTGAGCTAGTGTCCACACTTTGGATATTTTCTGAATTTTCTATATCAAATGGATTTTTTAATGAATTCAGGAAATATAGAATTTCACCCAGTACTTGATATCAATCTGATACTTTCATAATCTGATAATTTTGGTTCCTTAAGTACAGATCAATTATAAAAAAAATCTCTAAACAATATTCTGCATCATTAAATGTTACCCAATCTTCATATCTTCTCACCCATGGTTTTTCCATTCTTTATCCTGATGATCACTGTGCTTTCACCTTTCCAACCTTCTTTACCATCATCTATCTTGGGTTGATGATAAACCCTGTGTGACACACTGCCTCTCATCTTCTGATGCTTCAAAATCAACTGAAAAGTTTTAGCTCACTTGGGGCAGAACCATAAAATGGTTTATTTTTTTCAAAATACCTCTTGATGGTGCTGGAGAGAACTCTGTTTCTCTGTTAAGGACAGTACTCCCTTCCAAGTTCACCTCTTTGTTTATTTGTTTGTTTTCATTTATAAACCCTTTCATTCCAAATGCTTAAGAATTTGTGCTATTCATTTTTGAATGTGTGTGTCACCACTGTGTAAAATATCATCCTGCCATATAGATAAACAAAAGAGCTGTATGTTCTGATGATTCTAATGAAGAAGGTGAACAGTCATAGAGGGCATGGCACTCTGAAGCCTGAAGTATGAAGAACTCTAGTGAGACCCATTCTTGGGAAGGGGACATAAAGAAAAAAAAGGAGAAAAAAGTGTAAGCAAGAAAATCAGAGTTAAAATTGGTTAGGCTGGTGAAGTCTGTGAGTCTGATACCTGTAGGATATTTGGAAATTATCTTCATGAAGATGAGGGAGAAGTTGCTTGGGATGAAGGTAAATACAAATGACATGAAAAATAAATGGTATTAAATAACCCATAGACAAATGAGATGATCCTAGTAATTGCATCAGAACCATAAAAAAAGAATAATGCTATGAAGTAAGACCAAAGAAATAATCAAGGAGCCTATTTTCATGTCCTTGAAAGCCAAAAGGACAGAATTCAGTTTTCACTTTGCATCTAGTTGAAGTCATTGAAAAGTTTTACACTGGGAACTGTAACATGATTTAACTCTGTGCTTTCAAATGTTCTTCCATTTCCATAAGAATAAAGCCTGATGTCAGTAGATTATCACTTTTGCACTGGGTCTTTGAAAAATAGATTAGAAATTTGGGTATCTCTTATCTGAAATGCTTGGAACCAATATTTTTTCATATTAAGGACTTTTAGATTTTAGAATCCCTTTATAGATTTTACCAGTTGAATGGTATTCCAGAAGATTTTGGATTAGGACATCAATTTATAGATGTGGTTTCATTGAAGCAAACTTGTGTGTATGTGGTTCCAACTTCATTTTCTTTTGTTTTGTGTTATAGCTGCCAAAGAACGTGAACAATGAAGCTGCCACTTCTTCTGGCCCTGGTGGTCTGTTCTGCAGTCAGTACAAATTTGAAGATGGTATCAAAAAGAAATTCTGGTAAGTTGCTGTCAACTACCTGCTACAAGGTCAAAATGTGTGGGTTTTTATTTTATTTTATTTTATTTTGTGAACATTCATAGGACACCTGTGTCTTTAACTAGGAATGTCTTTAGATCGAAGTGCTTGCATTCTAGCTCTCCTGGAAAGCAGCCAAAATAAAAATGAAGTTTGTTGCCTACCACTGAGAAAATGTTGGGAAACCAGTGGAATTTTGTTAAAATTCAATGACCAGTGTTCTCTCAGCGGACAACAAAATATGAAAGGGCTATTTAGAGTTGGTTACATTTGCTGGGAAGTAACCAACTGGGAGCAAACATTTATAAATCAGAAGAGAAGAAATCTTAAAAAAAAATGCCTGTCCTTTGCCTCCTAATTGAATGTATAGCAATATACTTTAAAGCAACGCTTTTGAAAAATATCAGTGAGCTTTAGCTTTCCATATCTGTACAGAATCCCTAATAGGAAGACGTTTAAAACATTCAGTTTCAAATTATAGTAGTTAATTTCCTGAAGAGAAATTTTCTGGAGTAGAAGCACCTATTCCTAGAACATGGCTGCCTGGCAGCCAATCATGATTATACTAAGAGATTATCTGTCTTCAGTAGATATTTCAATCAAAACATAATCATTGTTTAATAACACACGGAGATGTGTCTTTCAGTTTTGATTACACATCCTAGTTATAATTACAAAGCATGAAGGAGGGTTTAACAGTTGATTTTCTGAATATAATCATTCCACTAAGGCATTGAACAATGCATTATTATATCAAAACAAAAGACTAAGTCAGAGTTTCGCACTGACTTCTAATTCCATTCTTTCCATTAAATTCATGCACTTTACTATCACTGTCTAAAATCACAGCAATGAAATGCACGCTAAGTTTTCAAAACAGTATTTCCTGAGTTGGGCTCAAGGTTTAGTCTTTATTTTCTGAGGTTAAAATTTACTTGATAATTACAAGAACTAATCGAGTTCTTCTGTTAATAGCATATTAATAAGTTTTCAAAAATATTGGATAGAGGTATAAAGTAAAAGAACAATACTGAAGTCTGAATAATTCTGGAATGGTAATGATATGGTACCACACTGATGTGTCTTCCTCTTATAGATTTGTGTTTTTAAGTCACATTAGAATAATTAGGATCTCTTTTATGCTGTATTTGTGTGTAAGGTTTTATCTATCATCTGTCTAACTTGGCACATCATTTATGGCTGCCTTTCCTTCCTTCACTTTTCAAGTCACATTTTCACTTTCAATCTTGGTTCAGATTGATTGTTGCTGAAATAAAACACTTGGAGAGATTACTTACTAGCAAATGTAACCTGTTGGACCAAATCCTATTTTCCTCAGTCATTTATGTCATAATGTCACACATCTTTCAGGCATAGTACAGCCTGAAAGAGGGAAAATGAGTTAAATGTTTTAAAAGCCATCTACATTGTGATAGCTTAATTCAAGTAAAACCCACAATAAAAGCAAAACAGACAAAATAAGGTGTTAATGTTTTGGTTTCTTTATTCATGAATAGACAGACTATTTGGCTTATATACATAGAGAAGGTTATTGATATACAGGTGACATTCCCAGATCAACTTAATGTTTTGCTTCTTTGTTTTCACTTGTTCAGTGTGAGGTTATTTGTGGTTTCCTGGGAATCTTAGCTTTCTTTACTCAGTGAGGTCAAGTGCAATTGTCTTTATTAAAGAAACATTATACAGGAAGTTATTTACTTAAGGTGAGGCACTTGGGTTTTTTAGTGCTCTCAATCTCTTGTTCCCCTATCATGTTGCTGCTTCCTTTGGCACAGTGACAATGATGGTACCAGAGAAAAACTTCCTGTAGGTCTGGACAGAGGGAGTGTTTTAAATGTGCAGTGTGTTAATTCCTTTTCCATCTTCCTGTTTCTGTTAATGGTGCATAGAGAGCAGACGGGAGAGTCTGATAGGTGAATGTTGGCTTGTGTTTGTCTGTACAGTTTTTGTTTATATATTTATTGTTTAATTTCATAATAAGTAAAATTGGGTGTAAAATAGATAAGGAATACTAAGTGGTCCACAGGTGATAAAAATGGGGAGCACCTCTCACTCTTCCCTTCTGTTCAGTTTTGCCCATCAAAATCTTCCATTGTGTCAGTACACATCTGTTATTGTTATTATTATTATTATTATATGTAGGAAATATATGTATTTTCACTCTAATTTTAATAGCTGAATTTGAGTTGCTTTATCTTTGAAGAATGCTTCATAAATATTTAGCACTCAGCTTTGCTTCATGTAGTTTATGATGTCCTTTGCTTTTGTTAATTAAAGTGATCCAGGTTCAAGCATACATGGTTTCTCTTTGTAGAGTTGCCAAGGAAACCCAGCTTCTATTTTCTTCTCATTTGCCTTCTCTGTAGTTGAAAACAGTAGAATGGTAATGTCCCCTATTCACTGGTATTTGTGACTGTTTAGCTCCTGATGTGAAGCTCTAATTATTTCTGTGTAGTTCATTCTAGACATGGATCCCTCTCACTGACAACCTTACAGTTCTTGTGCCATGGGTATCTCTTATGCACCATACAGAAGACCAAGGATAAAACTTTCTACTTCTGTCATTGCCAAATGGGGAACAGTGACTTAACAGTTGAAAGTTCTTTTTTTAATATTTTGTTTTGCAGTGCTGGTGATTGAATCCAAGGCCTCATGCACATTTAGCAAGCACTCTATGAGTGAACTAGTTGTAAAAAGAAAAGTCTACTCCCAGAACATACAGGAGCAAATTTCATTGTTTTGGATGATTCTAGGAAAAAACAACAACAACAGCCCAGACTGTGTTTCTGTGTCATATTGCACATGCCCAACTTGTACAGAAAAAAGCAGGACTAGAGCTGGTTGACTAAATATATGTTTGTTACCTTCTCCACACTATATTTGTGATATCAGTCTACATTGTTTTCTAAATCTAGGATATTGATAAGGTCATTTGGAATGTATATTCTATTAAAATCAGTTTGCTTTACTTAAAGCTTTATGGCAAGACATTGGCAAATATCTTGACAACAGTGAATGGCAAAAATGCCCATTTCCTTTTCCAGTAGAGGACATATGAACCCAAAACGAAGTTTTAGTAGTATACATTGGAGAAATTATTTTCCCTCAAAAATAGGTCACTCAAAATCATCTTCGCTGGTTTTTAGAGCTTGATAGGTGACGTTTTCAGAGTATGCGTGGATGTTATCATTTGGGATGTGAGGCTTTCCCCTTACATTGTCTTGGATTTTTGATGCTGCCCTTGTTGCTGTTTCTTTTGCTGCTGTACAAAACTGCAAGCTGTGCTGTGCAGTTGCTGGTATTCATTTCTTTCAGCATGGATGTCCAGATCAGAGGACAAAACATCAGTGTTACAGGACTGTGTGTTTAAGTTTGTACCCAAACTGGGTCATCATGCAGTCAGTTCATCCATAGGATGACCATAGTAATCAACTTTTCTGTGATCTGCAATTGGGAATAAAATTGTAAAGCTACCAAAATTGTAGTTTCTAGCAGTGAGGAGGATATGAAGACCTACTGGCACACATCAGGTACTTACAGATACATTTTTGGATGGACATATATGGAATCATTTAACTCTATGTAATAAGGAAATTACTATATTTGAGATTTATGAAATTTTCTGGTTGTTGATGACTAGATAGCTGTTTGTTTTTATTAGAAATGTGTAACCTTTAAGATTCCAATTAGGTAAGTAAAAGCAAACAATAAAGGCAGAAATAGAGGTTAAAGGAACTAACATAAGCTAGAGACTTTCTCAAATCCCTTCCAAGTGTAAACTGTAGAAGGAAATTTCTCTGGTCCTGCCTTGCCCAGCAGTTTGGATGAATCTCTCTTACCCTCTGTCCCACAGCCACTTATAAAATAATAACTCAGAGGCTTAATATTAATTACAAACTGTATGGTCTATGGCTCAAGCTTCTTGCTAGCCAGCTCTTTCATCTTAAATTAACCCATTTCTATAAATCTATATGTTGCCATGTAGCCATGGCATTACTGGTCTGCTGACATCTTGTTGCTACTTCAGCAGTGTGTCTCTCCTGACTCCATCCTTCTTCATCTTATCTTCAGTTTAAATGTACCACATAACCTTATCCTGCCCTGCCATAGGCCAATGCAGCTTTATTTATTATCCAATGGGAGCCACACACATATTCATAGCTGTTGTTCAAATTCTAATAGGTCTTTTTAATTAAAAAAAAAACCTGGAGCTAGATATTGGCGTAAATGCTGAAAGATCAGAGAGACAAAGGAACAAGCCATTGCCATGTCTTAACTCTAAAAATCCTCAGTCTGAAATGGCTTTCTAGCGGAAAGGCCTCTAGCCTAAAAGGACACTTCTGCCAAAAAGTCTTTAGTTCCTGTCTCCTCATGCCTTATATACCTTTCTCTGCCTAACCATGTCATTTCCTGTCTCAACCTTCCTAGTGCTGGGATTAAAGGCATGTGACTCCAAGTACTGAGATTAAAGGTGTGCACCACCATTGTCTGGCTCTGTTTCTCTCCTAGACTGAGTTAATCTCATGTAGTCCGGGGTGGCTTTGAACTCAAAGAGATCCAGATGGATCTCTGCCTCCTGAGTCCTAGGATTAAAGGTGTGTGTCACCAGTGCCTGACCTCTATGTCTAATCTAGTGGCTTATTCTGTTCTCTAATCTTCAGGCAATGATTAATAGGGCACACAATATATCACCACACACAGCATATAGAAAGACATCCCACAGCAGTAAACAAAGTAACCTTTCCTGTGAATCATATGGTTATGTAATTCTGAATAACATCAAGTATCTTTTCTTTAATTTTTTTGAAAAAAAATGTTTTGTTTCAAACATGCAGGCTAGAAGTAAAGCTAGTTTAAGAGTATTTATGCCATGTCACTTAACTGTAGAATATTAGAAGACTAGGTAGAATATCAACAATATGCTATTCAATTTTCATTTTATAAACTTATTGTAATAGAAG